AGTTCAGACGTGTGCTCTTCCGATCCCCCCAAAACCCCAAAACCCCTGAGCAAAATTAATTGATAAAATTGAAAGGTAATTAAACTAAAATTAAAACACGTATTAAAGCAATTCATATTGGGAAATTCTCAGCGACTGCTCTCATTCAAAGTACTCTTTTTGCTCAATGTCTGGGTAGAAGAATCCACTGTGCACTTTCCATATTCCATTCTTTAGCTTTCCTCTGGCTCCACTAATTTCTGAATGACCTACGATTGGGCATCTTCTGCAGTTGTGTTCAGTATATTTAGAACCACCATCAGTGTAAAGATACAAGCCTGTGTCTCTATGCTTGAGGTAAAAGTTAGTCTTTCCATAAACTACGCCATCTACATCATTACTCTCACACTCAATCTCCCAATTATCACCACCGTCTCCATCTCCTCCGTTTCCAAATGCACTGACTTCTTATCTTCCACTAACAGGGGAATCAAAGTTAGAATGAGAATGAACATTCTTGCCCGTATTCATGTGCTCAAGCCTAATTCTATCACCGCATCTGACCCTCACACCAGTCCTGCATTTCTCAGTGTTATAATCTTGATCTGCTTCCTTAATTATCCATAGAGAACCATAGTCATGATCCCCATCAAATCCAGTCACGGCTTATTGCCCACTACCTGAACCATAGCTTAATTCACTTGAGTGTAAGAAGTATGATGATCTCACATTTTAAAGTCTAACAGTTGAAGAACAAGTGATGGGTAGTTGATCTGTGGTGCTCTAGATATCTTCTGAAGAGTAGTCTGTAGCTAGAGTAGAAGAAGCAAGTAATAGAAAAATCGAGAATTTTATTATTGCCATTGTTTATTCAAAATACTATAATATTAAAATTTTATAAGATTAAATATCATTGAACAAAATACAATAAATGGAGACAAGCATTTAAAACAATCTATCCAAGGATAAAAAGGACCTATTCTCCAACTATATCGAGATTCAAGACATTCTTATGAATCCTTTAAAGCCTTTGATTCATCTGATAGGCTTTTAGGAGACTCATTCAACAATCACCTAGATTTTACTTGAAAATATTCAGTAAAATTCAAAGAATTTTAAGATGTATAATATCCAGTCATATGAATTCTACGACTCTTCTAATCAAAATCTACCTATAATATACAGGGACACAAGTAAGGGTGACAGGATTAAGTAAAGTAGTACTGACTTAGGCTTCCTTAAATATTCTTTCTTTAAATCACTAACTTTGTTCAAACCTGCTGTTACCATCATTGTATTTGACTGGCAGCATTAATCAGATTCAAACTTTGATTGGAAAGCATATGAAGCATAAGTTTTAGCAGAAATTAAGTCACACTAGGATAAATGCCCAGGTGCTAGACAATCAAAGATAGTTTTACTCATTTTCCTGCCTTTAAACGATTAGGGAAGTGTAGACGAAAAAATAACATCTTTAAAGAGAGCAGTAGCTTAGCGAGGAGATGATAATATTAAGACATTTTTTTTGTTGACCACAGGATTTGAGGGTCTTAAAAACATATCAAAGAAGTTTGTGAAAATACTTAATGATCTATCCTTCTAGCATTATAGAGAGAAGAAAATGAATATCAAGAAAAAGCAAAAGAAATTGATTAAAGATGAAATTGGCAATATTAGATATAGCTTCAAACATGGTATATTCTCATCATATACAAAAACTGATATTGTTAAGCCTGTTAAGTATATGAAAGAAGGCTATGTATAATTAAGATAAAGTATTGGTAACTCTGGTGTAAGAACCTCTTATGAAGAGAAGAGGGAGAACGCTGATTTAATCACAATTAAGATATGCTAAATGCTGATTTCAAATGGAAGTCATGCCGGGTTTATAGAAATGTATAGACAGCATTTATACACCTACCAGACTAAAATTAATTTACTCAGAAAAGAATAGAGGTTTGAGGAACTCAAATGGCGAGCTAATTGGATGAGAATAGTGGCTTAGTTCTTGGAAATGCATCCAATAAATGAAGAGAAACAAGAATATTTCCCTGGATTCTACAATGTAAATTCAATGATGATCCAGATATCTAGAAAACAGGAGTATGAGAGAATTTGCAGAGAAAAGGGCGATGCATTTAATGGAATCGAAGATATGAAAAATATGGTGCCAAAATATCATAACTTCATTGGAAAAGATTGTGTGTTGCAAGATATGAGAGATCCATTAGGTGGGAATCAAAAGACTCAAGGCGATTAAAAGTCATTAGTTGAGAAGTTTAAGATCTACCTAGAAGGGCAGACTGATGTGAATTCAATAATAATAGACTTCGCCTAGAAAGCAATTCAGCATTACAAGAATAAATCAAGGCAGTTAAAGGGTAACAGTGCAAGTGTTTTCAAAAGAGTTATTCACTTTATTAGTTATCACATATCAGAACATGTTCTTGCCAAGGATGATCCCACTGGAATTAAAACTAAGAAATATAGAGGGTAAATAGCTAGATCATTAATCAATGAGGGTTGGATTTAAGAGGAACTAATCATAGTTGAAAGAGCGAAAGCTAACGCATCTAATAATCTTGAAGAATTCTTTTTATATGAGATGGAAGTATTAAATCACGATAAAGTTTTAACAAATGAAGAGAGGAACGGAAGATTTATGGATTTACTTAATAAAGTCAGGTCAAGTCCATTTGATTCAGAAAATGTTGATGATAAACCTCTACATTTAATTTCATCATTAATTGGACCTAAGATTATTTGGTCTAGAGGAAATTTCGATTTAAGTACCATTTAGGTAAATAAATACAATAAAGTCAACATAGAAATCCATAGTAATCTCGATGATGAACTATAATTTAACAAGATCATCCTTAGATTCAATGAAAACACCCTCAATCAAGAAATTTTGGGAGAATTCTAATTATCAAAGCAGTAACCTGTCATTTTTACTAAGGAGCTATATATTTCGAAAGATAACTAAATAACTAGAGATTTTATCTAGCTTTAAGAGATACAGATGAATATTTCTAATGATTCATCGAAGAATCATGATTTGTCTATAATTGTTAAGCCCTATCTCATTCCAGAGTAAAACTTATTGGAGATAGATAATAAGGAAATTACTAGAAAGCCAGTAAGAGTTAAAGATGCTATAAAATTTAATATTGAGCCAATGCCCTCAAAGATAAAGTTCAGCTTGAAAAAAGATGAGAATGAGGATCAAGCTCTCTTAGGGGATTATTACAATATTTACTTTTAAATGCTACCAGATCACATTACAATCACTGATTTTTGCATGTTAATTGAAAATATTGACTAAGAAGTACTCAACACAAATGATGGATAACTTGTTGATCAAAATTTAATGATAAGTCAATAATTGGAAGAATCAAAGCCTTCATCAACTACTGTGTCGCTGAATTCTTCAATAATGAATAGTCCTACGAAACCTATGAATGTTATGAGATAAGGTTCTTCCTCAAACATCCAAAATGATCCACTTGGCTTGTTTGATTAACCTCTTGGTAGTTTGAATTTTAGCAAATAAAAATCAAATGCATTTAAGGATGTTGAGCTATTCTATGAAATTAATCCAGATTCTGATAGTAATCAAATTGAGAACTAGAAGCTTTAAGAATTAGACTATTCTTAAGAAAACCATAAACTATAGCTTCCTCTAGATGCTAGATCAATTAGGATTGCTTCCAAGTTTTATCTTGAGTCTTAAAACTCAATAAACATTCTGTTTAGGTATTCATTTACTCAAAACTCAGATAAGGAAGATTAGAAACAAATTATGAGATAGTAATATAGAAAAGCCCTAAAAATAAAGAGTCAGAGTCCGTTTAAAATAAGCTGGGATATCAAAAATTCAGATCCATTTATATAAAATCTCAAATTGAGGAATGAATAATTATAGATTGCTCCTCTTGTTGCTGCTAACAATGAAGAAAGTTGGGTAGTATGTACTCTGACTTCCCAGAGTTAAAGTAAAGTCATTTATTTGAAAAAGGTTGATTTGCATTTACTTTGCCCAAGCAGGGTGCAAAGACTTTAATCTTTGGACGATTAGGACGATGAAGCAATCAGATTAGAGCCAGGAGAATCTTTTGAGAAAGTATTTAAAATTAAGATTAATACTGATTCAAGCATTGATGCCAAGAGCAAAAGTGAAATTGAATAGTTTTCTGATCTATACTTTAGTTGGTATTCCCAACCATATGAAAATGAATCAATTCCTTTAGGTAGTGGAGAAATCAGTACTAATTAAAATCAATTTATTCAATGCACTATCCCAAGTCCATCTATCACTTTAATAGATATTCCGATTAAAATCAAAATACTCAATGAAGCCTAATTCTAGAAGGCATTTTTATACAAGACCATCAATCTTGATCTTGAAGTTAACAATCAATCTGATGAAGTGATTGATGCTGAGCTATAGTTGGAGGAATCAGATGATTTCTTTGTAGGAGGAGAGCTGAAATCTTAGATATCCTTTATGCCAGGAGAGAAGTACATCTTTAGATACAATATAATTCCCCTTCAGATTGGTAGACTCTCATTGCCAAAGTTTAATATATCTGAGATCATGGACTAGGACAGATTGATACCAATCATAAAAGGTTTTACAAAGAAATGTTTGATCATTAAGTGATTAGAATACATCAAATTTGTGATAATACAACTTGATCAAACTATCTTTGTTTAGATAAATTTTATTGCTAATACTATTTAAGAATGAATGATGTGCTTGATGGGGTTTTGGGGTTTTGGGGTTTTGGGGTTTTGGGG